ATCCATCCTCAAGGAAAGTCTATAGGTAGCATATCCAAATACTTGAAAATTCCATCCATTTAGGGTTACATCTCTACAAGAATTATTTGATAACAACATTTCATAAAATCTGAAGGGTTTTGGATATTGATTTTTTTTAGGAGTGATATCTAGAATAAGAGGGTGATGATCAGAAACCCAACGATCAGATAAAGTAAGAGTGGCATGTGGAAAAGTTGAGATCCAATCAGGAGTAGCTAAGGCTCTATCAAGAGTTCTGCTAATAAGTCCAATAGATATTTTATTAGACCAACTAAGTTTACCTCATTGAATATTGATTTCAATAAGACTTTGAACTAATATTAAGTTACAATACTTTGTAGAAGTAAGCCTAGAAGATCTGTTAGAGGAAGTTAGGTCTTGAATTATGACTGTATCTAACTCATTAAAGTCTCCAATAAGTAAAAAAGGCAGGTTTACAAACTATAGCCATTGATTAAGATTTGACCAGAACTTATTTCTATGGGATTTTATTGATGGACCATAAATAAATTCTAGCAACTAATTTTCAAGAGTAGGAGGAGAAGATATTTTAAGAAAAGCATACCTCAAATGAACCAAAAAGAGAGAAACAGTGATACCAGTTTTCAAAAAAAAAAAAAAAAACAACTAATCCTCCAACACGTCCTTCAGGAGGAATTAAATAAGAATTAGAGTAGTGAAAAGGGTTAGCTATATATTGCATTTTATCTTATGGAATTTTGGTTTCACATAGGAAAATAAAATCCAGGTTATATTTTTTTAACCAAAATTCCTAGACCCTAAACTGCCTTAGGGAGCTCTACCCCATGGCAGTTCCAGCTCATAATCAACATTGGCGGTGTTGTGGCTATTGGGGGTCAGCCATCACCGCCTTGTTCATTAAAAAGGAGTAAAAAGTTAGAAGGAGATAACTGACCGGTTCTGGCGCGCTTGTAGGAGGATTTTCTAGATCTAACGTTTCTCTATTTTGGTTGACCAACTCATTGTCGATTTCCAGATCAGATTAAACAATAGTAAGTATTCTATTAATTTGGTTACTTTGAGTGGAAGATTCAAGCCTGTCATAGATGGGTAGATCAAGAGTATCTTCAATCTCAAGATTTTCTAGAAGATTAATTCGATGACGTTTTCCCCTAGAAGAAGAGGTGCCCGTAGTATCCGAAAAGAGTAGATCGGTGAGGGTATTCTGAGTTTGTTGGGCTAGATGGTAGGTTTTTTAGGAGACTTGCATAGAGGGAGGATTATTAGTGGAAGGGTGGGAGGTAGAGAGGGATGATGTAACTCTAGCCAAGGTGGAATCAGGATTAGAAGGTGCATGGTGGGGTTGTGATGGGGAAGTAACAGGTTGTGATGTCACCGGGGAAGTTTGCTCATTGTCTGGATGAACAAGAATATGGGAAAAGTTATAGAAGGAGGGACGATGTCAGTTCTGTCACAGGAATTTTGGCTCTCAACCAAGGACCAGGGAGATGCATGGATCTTTGGTTACAATATTGTTCAAAAAACCAACTAGGAATATGGGGGAGGGGTTGAGAACATCGTCGGTAAAGATGTCTGACTCAACCACAAAGAAAACATGTTGAGGGGAGATCTTCATACCAAAAAGACACTCAGTTCATAATACTGTAAAAACAACCAGTTTTTAGAGGCTGGTCAATCGTAATGTAAACTTTGGGTCGGATATAGTTTTGAATGACTGTAATATGACAGGTAGGACCTATACATTCAAAGATGGGCCTACCTATGCCTTTTGAAAGAATTTCATAAGGAAGATCATGTAATTGGGCCCAAACTTCAATCTAATTAAGCTTCCATTCATATTGGAGTCTACCAGGCACCCACGGTTTGATAACAATCCACTGACCACTAAGCATCCAAGGCACATTATCCCTAATCCGAATAAAATCTTCCTCATACCTGAATCATAATAGAAAGTAGCTTCGTTGAAAGGGTGTCATAAGGAGACGATTCGGGTCTAGATTCCAGAGGGTGTAAAGGCCATGTTCAAGTTCATAGAATTGATTAGTAAAGCGAGAAAACAAGCGGCAAATGAAAGAAAAATTCCAGCCATCTTGGAGATTTTCAGGAAGGGGTGGACAAATATCAACAAAATCAATACCCAAAATATTATTAGCATGAAGCATATTTTGAAAAGCTTCATTTAGGGCATCTAAATTGTCCATAATTGATTGCAGGAAGAAGAAGATCATGAGAAAAGGAGAAATATGAAAGTTGGTGAATCTAGAAAGTTAAAAAAAGGGTGGAATAAAGATAAAAATATTGAAGACAGATTTACCAAATCTTGAAATAATGATACATACTCAGGTGGGATATCTTTCACCACCAAGTGGCCACAAGTAACGAGGAGAAAATAGATGGATGTAACATCAAATGAATGCACAAAGGTTCGAAAATACTATTAGAAAAGACTAGAACTTATAGAAATTAAGACTAGATAGAATGCTAGTTCGATAATAAAACCAAAGAGAAAGAAACCCAACGAAAAATCAGGATGTAACTAGACTAACAGGGCAAATATAGTAGGAAACATATTTATGTAACTAGACCAACACTACATAAGTAACTCGATTCAGTATGTTTACTATTATCTAAAGATGAGCAAAACCATTCAACTAAGTAGCAGATCCGGTATGATGGAATAAAATATAACAGTGATAGATACTCCCTGGTATGTCGTAATGATGCAATAGACAACTGGTTGCATGGAATCAAACTTCTCACAGAGCTCCGCTCCTTCCGCGCTCATAATCCCTCACAGGAATCACATGAAAGTATTGGCTTACACATTTTTTTGGACTGGTTGAATGGGTAGATCTCTAGAACTTGCATCACCCTATTGCTCCTTTAGATACTCCTGAACTTTTACTGGTGATAAATATCCCCTAGGCCTTAAGTACACATCAAATTACCAAAATACCTACTTGAATTATCTTTATTTTTTATTGTCCTTTTCTCTTAAACCCTAACCTAATCTAATCTTCATATTCCCTTCCCCAGTCTTTGTTGTTCATCAATCATCATTTTCTCCTCTCCCCTTACTTCCGCCTCTACCCTCTGTTGGTGCCAATCACCACTCACCCTCAACATTCACCACCGGCTACCCACACAAATAGCAGAATAGGACAATCAAAAGACTTGTAATACTGGCCTTTCCAAGTCTCTTGATATCCTTCACATAATAGGGACCAAAATGCTACTTACCTTTTATGAAGAAATGGATATATCAAGCAAAGAATGGCACAATGGATAAAAACTATCATTTGAAGAGAATTGAACAAATCAAGGTGAAACCAAAGAATGCCACAACTAGCAAGATCACCAGTCTTTTGAATTTCTAGATAGAAACCACCAATTGAAGAGGATTGAACAAATCAATCGTCACCGTGGTTATTGGAATCTATGGTGATCTAGTCGGTGATGTCTTATCACCTTTCAAATAAATAAGAAAGGTCAGTTTAGTTTGGGGATTTAAAATACTTTAACCAGGTGAATGTTTTTTTGGAAGTTAACTGACAGAATACTAACGGTGGGGTCATTGTCTAATAGATAAAGTTCAGGGGTCTTTATTACAAATTAAAGTACAGGAGATCTTTGTCACTGACCCAATGCAGGGGGTTCTTTAACAGAAAAGAAGATAATAAGAAAAACAAGTCTTGCTTGAAACTATCTCCATATATATCTTGTATTTTTATTCAAGTCCATTTATTATATTGGATTTCTAAATATGGTTAATTAATAACAGAATCAAAGACCAAATTGAGAAAATCATGGGTACGCCAGAAAAAGTTTTAATGCCGGCTTGATAAAAATTTTAGTGTTGACTGTCAATTTGATGCAACCCTCCTTTTATCAAGTTTCAAAGTATCAATACATATAGGCCTGTACCGGCCAATACGTATTGTTCCGGGACCCTTCCGATACGTTCCTACAGTGGGTGTATCGGAGGTCTGACCGGTTCAGGGAGTGGAGGAGCCCTAAACCAGCCCCCCTGAACCGGTTGCAAAAAAAAAAAATGAAAAGCTATATCGATTCGCCTAATACGCCCAACATATCATTATTTTGAACCTTGCCTTTTATCTCAACACTGCAATTTGTACGTGACGGAAAAAGTACAGGACGAGGTCCAATTTCCTTAGCACATTCCCTCGTTTTATACCCTGTTTATGTTTATGCTTCTAAGTTGTAACTATAGAAATAGCAATAGAAAGAGTGTCGTGGCAATGATTTAAGAACATCCCCTCATTCTTGAAGTAAACATATTCAACTCCAAGAAAGGTTTTCATTCCCTCGGTTTTTGCCTTTTTGGTAAACCCATTCCCTTGGGTTTGAGTGGATGTTGTTGTGCTTGAGACAGTTTGAAGGAATATAAATACATACACACACATATATATATATATCCGATATGTCAGTATGGACTTATCGGGCGAATCGATACAGCTTTTCATTCTTTTTTTTTATTTTTTTTCGTAACTGATTCAGGGGGGCCAATTTAGGGCTCCTCCACCCCCTGAACCGGTCAGACCCCTGATACACCCACTGTAGGGGCATATCAAAAGGGTCCCGGAACGATACGTATCGACCGATACATGTCAATACTTTGAACCCTGGACTGTATCATGCTTAACGGTGGTTCATTGATCCATGAGCCATGCATTTCCCAGATTAGTTTACCCAAGTGAAGAAGAACATTAGAATTTTGATTGCTCGACATCCATTAAACAAGGGTACTGTCAGAAACAAGGTCACATACGAGTATTGAATCACGATCACAATCACGAAAACCTTGATTCAACGATATGCAAGACAAAGTTGTGCCACAAGGCCTTTCTAAATGTGACCAGGTTGCATTTACAACTCCTAGCTGCAAAGCTTCTTTGCTAAGTGCAGGGGAAAAAAGGAATATATAGACAAGATGCCATTCATGATGAAATGGAGCTAGCAGGATAATGGACTACGTATATATGAACAATGATCTACTCAAAGCATGATATTTTAAGTATCATCCTACTGCAGAGAAACACAGAAGGGGGGGAGGGGTACAGAACTGAGCTAATTATACTGGCTTAGCCTTGACCTTTCTTTTCCAAATAACTATATCAGTAGTCCATGGAAAGAAATAACTAATAATGACCAACCCCAAGTTCATGAAACCCTTGGACATTTAACCTTAATCCATTTCTTCCATTCAACTTGGACAATGCACATTTGAAGGACATATAAAGAAGCAAGAGAGCTATGAGGAGTTGTGTGACATTTTTGCTGTAATCCAACAATCCGTGCGTTACAACAACACAAGTAGCCAAACTGTACTCAACATAAGGAAAGCAGGGCAGGGTCAACGGGATTAAGGTCCCAGTAACCAAAAATCTGTAAGAGTACTGTCGTTATGTGTATCTTCAATGATAATCATTGTTGCTCATCATCGGGCAGGTCATCACCAAGACTGCGTTGTGCCAGTCTATAATACAAGATACCCATTGTTGCCATGCATGCCCTGCAAAAATTCATGGACTAATAGTCAGCTAAATAACAATGATTCCCTCTGTTTCTGTTGTATATTCTTATTTGTCTTTTCTTTTTCTCCTGTTTTGTGCCCCACAAATGGCAAACACGAACGTGAATGAAGCCAACTGTAGTTGCATCATATAGTTCCAACTAACCAACTAGGAGGATTTTGATCTAGAAGGCAGGGAATGAAAGCTTGTCTCACTCATTCCAATGCATTTCCCTGCTCTCTTTTAAGCATCAATTGTGCTGCAGACTGCAGTATCACTTCAGAAATGCAGATAATCCAATTGGTTTAGCTGGAAGTCTTAAAACTTGATTCCAACCCCTCCCAAGCAAAAAAGATATGAAGCTCAAACAGATGAAAAGAAAAGAAAGTGTAACAACAGTACATGATTGCCATTATGAGGAGGATTTTCCTCGGATCCATCCTTGAAGGCCTTGGATGACGCAACCGGCCTTCTGGAACATCATCTGTGTTATCCTTGCGTGGGGGTGCAGACACTGGTAGAGTTGGCAGTGCACTAGACCAGAAAGGTAGTAAAGCCCTTAGAAACTTATGATGGAAAGGACCTGCAATAAGAATCCTTTTAGTTTCTCAATGCCATACAGATTAAAGCAACTTCCAATGGAAATTCAGCAGGAGGAACCAAGGCATACAATTTTCAACAAGATATAATCAAAAGAAAAATGGGAAACCCAAAGATCATGGTTAATGAAAAAAGAAAATTTTCCTAGAATTATAATTTCGTGCTTGATATTTCAGTTTTTTAAGTCCAATAAATGCATATACTAACCAACTTTTGTTGTATAATAGTTTGGCATTTGAGTTTGTTAAATCAAACACCTATCATTCTGAAAGAGGAGAGTATCTCAAGAGTCAAGATCCACTCAGATTGATGTCTGGAAATCACTCAGCTAGGCACCTAGTTGATTCCAGATAGGATGGCCAACAATTTGGAAAAATCCTCACTGATTTTTTTTCTTTTTGAGGGAAAAAAATTGTACTATACACTAATGATAAATGTAAAAGGTCCATACAAGAACCTTGATCATTTAGTGATCAGCCAACCCAACCAGAACCTTTATCATTTTGTCATTTCTTTTCTTTAGGAGTCCAGGGGACCTCAACATGATATTTTATGATTGAGACATCCATTTTCTGTGCCATTTGCATGAAATCCAAGATTTGACCTTTAGACCCATAGAAAGAGCACTTTGCTAGCCTCTTTGAATAAAGTTTTAGCCTAGGCAAAATCCAGTATACAGGGATGCAACAGAAGCGTGTGGGAACAAAGTTGAAATATTTCTAATACATGAAGAGTTGAAGACAAAAATAGACATGCACTGCCAAATTAAAACACTGGCAATCAGAACAGTTCTGTCCAACATCCTTCAATTTTCTGAAAAAACAAGCTCATCATCAATAATAGGAAGCTCAACTGGAAAACTATATTATTGGATAATCCTGAATTCTAAATCATTCCTCTGAAGTTTATTGTATTCCTTCAATGCCAATCGTTCCAACAAACATCAGAGACCAAAGGTGAATAGTTTCACATTAATTAAGTGAATTTGGATAGATACATCCTTACAGAAAGAAAAATAAAATATCATCGTCTAGACCTTGTCCTAAACTATATGGGATCAGCTAGATGAATCCTGCTTCACCATTCCATTCAGTTCAGTCCCATATTTACTTGTTACTTCCACCCAAGTCCTTCTCAGTCTGCCCCTAGCTCTTCTAGACTAGCTCCCTGTAACAGATCATGTTTTCTAACAGGTGCTATTTGGTCTTCTATGCACATTAACAAACCATCTCAATCTGCTTTCTCTTATTTTATCACTTATTTGAGCTACTCCTAGGTTCCTTTGTATGACTTGATTTCTAACCATGTCCTTTCTAGAAAAAAACGAAGTATAAAAATGAATATAAAAGTGGGTGTTAGAGAGAAAAAAAACTCATTCAGAGACTTCACCCAACAGCTTAAGCTTTTAGGTTGAACGGTTCCTTGAGATGATATTAGAGCCTGTTTGACCAAGTTTGTCATCCCCATAATAATTAATTAAATTTCAGCACAAGGTATGAGTGGCCCCGTGCTTCCACGCTTCAAACCCGATGGGCTTTTACCTGAAGGGGCATGTTAGAGAATAAAAACCTATTAAGGGACCTCACCTAAAAGCTTGCACTTTTAGGTTGAACAGTTTCTTGGGAAGTTGAGAGTGAGTAAAGAAGTATAAGTGAAATAGGGAAATCCCATACTCTATGCAACTTCAGAAATGTTCCCCATGGAAAAAGGAAGTCTAGCAGCATTACAAACATCCCTACTTATAGCTGCTTGAGATTAGCATGGTTTTTCAAATCTTTACAATGGATTGAAAATCAAATTAATTTCACTAAAATCAAGGAACAAGAATATATCGATCTTGTTTTTCACAGTTTCCAGAGGTACCCAAGATTTGTTCCATCACCAACCACATCAAAATTATGTTTGCAAGAATTGCCCTAAAACAAGGTTCATATGATCCAGAAATAGCAGTTATAAAACATGGATGATGTTCTACTAACCCCTTCGAGTGTACTTCTTCTGGGTACCATCTTCATCATCAGCATAATATGAAATTTCAGAATTCTGCCTGTCAACATGGTAAGCACCTTTTCTTGTTGTAGCACCAGGCTGCAATGATTTTTAATCATAGAAGAATGTATCAAACAGCAGTAAGGTATGTATAAACATAAGGAAGAAGTACGTCAAATATAAATATACAATCAGAGAAAGTTCAGGTTAATTATCTATTTCAAATGCAAACGTCCACGTACACCAACAGGACTTGCACTTTTGATGAAGTTTGACTCCAGATCAGATGCAAATTGATTTCCCACTGAACTAGAACCATCTATCTCCACAATATCAGTAGAAGAAAGTTTTGATGAGTCTATTCCAGTTGTAGATGGGTACCCTTCAACCAAGTTTGTCTTCTCAGTTACTGGAGATGTCAAGGCTGGGTCCTTTATGGAATCTAAAGAACTTGAACTATTTTTCTCTCTGCCTCCAGTATGCGTAAGTGGATCAGAAGCAAAAGCAGGAGGAGGAAGGCGGGACCCAGCAGTTGCCAGTGAAACAGGATGATTTCCAAACAAATTCTTTTCCAAACCAGTCTGCATAACAATGGAAGATTAGCCAAAGCATAATCTTTATAAAAATTAAATAATCTTACATGAGCTCCCTTTTACATGTCATGATTGAATAAGCCAAAATTGAAAATTATGCTTCCCTATATATGAAAGTATAAGTCAAAAAAGATCATTAAGCCTTCACTTAATGGGTTAAACAAATTAACTTTTTTTGATGGCCAGTCCAACAAATCAACTTGTAATACTGCTAGATGGACCATTCATCTTATCCACAGTACCTCTGTCCATAAAACATGGCGTGAGAATGGGTATGGGATAAATGCTGAATAACCCAACCTATAAATGTTTTCTGATTATGACTTTTATGATCAAGGACATAAAAATCATTTTGGCCTAGCCCAACATAAACCAATAAACTGGTGTTGTTACAGAAAGCTGCAATTGGAAATTGAAACTTGAACGAATGCAATGCCAGACTAGGTATGTCCCTTTAACCTTGTGAATTGATCAATACAAAATTTTAGTATACAATGATGATATCTTGAGTTTTTAATTGTCATGTGGCATTCTTTCACTCATGATGCTTCCTTTATTGGAGACTCTAATAATGGAATTGATCTAGGTTCTTAATAAAGCTAGCTTGCCTGTTTGGAAATTATATGTTGTTCAACATAAGATGTCAAGATAACCTTACCAAGCTCCCTGTATCCCAAACTTAGGGTTTTGATGGAACCAACTCCTAGACACACTCATACATCTGATCCCTCGTAATATCAGTTGTGGATTAATCTGTAGGTAATGAAAGTTGTGTTTATCTAAGTAAATCATCCAAAATAACCTAATAAAAGTTGGAGTTTCCACATTGCTTCTTGTTCCATCTACATCACTTTTTCTTCCTAACTGTTGTGCCAAGGCCCACCCTCTCTTTTGATCTGTTACCAATCAAAGAAAATGACTTTATGAAATAAAAGGAACTTCATATATGGATACCTACAAAGTTGAACTATTATATGAGTCATATAAGAAGCAGCGGTTTGCATCTACTGTTTGAATTTCCCAACTGACATATGTGCTTGCAAAATACTTCGAAACCCTTGAGAAAGAAGAGGAAAAAACAAATACAGAACCTACTGTGTAAATGACCCATAGTTGCAACAAAAACCACCTCCTGAAATTGACCAAGCCATTTTTTTTGATAAATGAGTGAACATTTTATTAATCCAGCAGATAAGAATTACAGGCAACCCAAGGAAAGGCATGAGAAGCGACCTTCCTTTAAGATTGATCACAGAATTACCTATATAGATAGTAAGTGTCATGTTTTTAATTAAAAAAAAGAGGCACTTTTTATAAATGATATGAGAGAAAAACATGGACCTTACCTGCATAATAGCTTCCTTTAGTTTTGAATGCAGACAGGATCCTGAATCTTTGATGCTTTTAGGAGGCCATATCTGCATTTGACAAAACACCAAATAGAAATGAAGCACATCAAAATCTAACACTACTTGGAAGGAGTAACAATAGCAACAAAAGAAGGTTACTAGAATAGAGCCAACCATGTGAATCAAGTTAATTTTTCAGAAAATAAAGTACATTGCTTATCCCATTTAGTTAATAAAATACATCGTTATCTTACATGATCATTTATTCTTTGATTAGGAGGTAATCTGTTTGTCTTGTGGCATAATATTTATTATCCTATGTACCTAATAAACAAGTTAAAATAATGATGAAACATCAGAAGATGGCCTGATTTATTTGCGACATAACACAACATCTACAACAAATGAGAAATTAATCATTTTGAGTTTAAAACCTAAGCCACTTAATATAGTTTTCACACAAAATCCCCCCCCTCCCCCACTCACTGATTAAGAAACATGCTTTATTTTCTTTTTCATCTGATAAATAAGAGTAATGTATTAATATAAGTAAAAGGAGCCAAAACCATGTAATGCAAAGTAAAGAGAAATGTATGCTTTTGGTTACTTCAAGAAAGTCTGGTATCAGACTTTATGCGTTTGCAACCTCAATACAAGGGTATATTCCTTCAGGCCTCAAGATGTATGATTTTCCAGCCTTGGCACAGGTATACTCCCTCAGCCTGTTGAAACACATTTCTGATGTCTTTCTCTCCATCTGTTATAATGTTTCTAAAGCTAGAGAAAACATACACTATAATGGTTGGGGAAAAAACCCTTCTAGGAGATTTGAATTGCTATAGAACATTGGCAGTTTGGAGTATGACATTTAACAACAGTATCACGAAAAGGAAGTGGTATCTGACATCATCTACTTCAACAACCAAGATAGGTGTAGTTCCCCTTTTTCCTTCACAAATACTATTTAAAGAAGATCAGGTATTCTTTCTTGTCCCCAAAAGCATTTATAATGTGCCTGAAGGACAAGGAAATTATGATGCCTAGAAATATATACTGAGATGGAGACAGATTTGGAAAACAGGGATACAACTCTCTATTTCCTAAAATACCAGGTATGGATGTGGTACAGTATCCCTTACAAAGTTGTGAATAGAGTACATCCCATTTTTGATAAAGGAGGCATACCCCTAGTGGATAAGCCAACAACAATGTTTTGAAAAGATAGGCACCCCTATGCACTTGTGTACCTTTTTTTTTGATAAATAACAGAAACTTTTATTAAGAATGAGATTAAAAGAGAAAGATACAACAGGACGGAGTGGTAAAATCTCTTAACCCTCCCTGTAAGTTTACTTCATATTACAACACTTCCCAGAAAGGATTAGCTCTTCCCACCCCTTGCTTGGCCAAAGAGTCTGCCAAAGAATTGGCACACCTCTTAGTCCACTGAAACTGAACTTCCATGTTTTGAGACAGATGTTTAAATTTCTTTTTCTCATTTAAGTATTTCCACAAACTGAAATCTTCCTTTTGCAGCCAACTAATAACCAGCCTAGAGCCACCTTCCACCACCAGTTTTCTGATATTCAGCTGCTGGGCTCTTTTAATCCCTTCCAAGACTGCCAATATTCCAGCCCTCAGAGAATCCCCCCATCCAATAGGACCCGAATACATGGCAATAATTTGACCTTCTTCATCCCTGAACGCTCCACCTATACCTTAAGGGCCTGGGTTTCCTTTGCTGCTTCCATCAAAGTTCAATTTAGTGTAACCCATGGTTGGAGGAGCCCAAACTGGAGAAGGGGTAGTTTTTGAGGGAGCTGACCAAGCCACTTCTTTCCAGTTCTTGATGATATCTCCTGCTGTGTAATCTTCAAAAAGCTCTAAGGTCTTAACCCAATGAGCCACCCTAAGAGAAATTAATTCAATGATGGCTTCCTTATTTCTTTCTTTTTCATGGAAGATTCTTTGATTTCTTTCCTCCCACACTGTCCAGCATATAGCTGCTCTTGCACATCTCCACAGAAATTTACCTCTCTTTTTTAACCCTCTCACTAATGTAATGCTGAACAAGCTCTGCACATTTGAAGGGGTGGACCACCTACAACCAAAAAGAGAAAAAAAAAAGCACCAGATTTCTGATACAAAAGGGAAGGATACCAATAAGTGATAGCAGCTCTCACCATTCTCCTTACATAGGATGCACCAATGCAAGGACAAACACCAATTAGGCCTTTTCCTTTGAAGCCACAAGTGTTACACTTTTCTAGGAATGCTTTCCAGCAGAAAGCACACACTCTGGGAGGAATTAGTCTACCCCAAATTTCCAAGACTGGGAAAGGGTGTCCAAAAGCCGGTGGGGAATGGGCTAACTCTTTGAAAAAGGAAAAACAAAAGAAGACACCCGAGGGAGAAGAAACCCAAATCCTACTATCCCTTCTAGAGGGATCAATAACCACCTCATCCAGGATCTTAAGCAAATCAGAAATGGTGTCAACTTAGAATCTCTAAGAGCCCTTCTAAAACCCAGGTTCCAATCAAGAGCAGAATTAGTAGGGGATAAAAAGGTGGATACTAGCTCATTTTTAAAACTCGAGAGGGAATACAAAGATGGAAATTGCTCTTTCAAGGGTGAGTTTCCCACCCAAAAATGTTACCAAAATTTCACAGAATTACTAGAACAAAGGTCATACCTGATGAGAGGAAGGAATGAGAGAAGAATGACATGGATGGACTTCCAAGGGGAAGCTCTTGTAGCCCTAGATGAGACTCCTGCATCCCAGCCGTTTGCCACTTGCCCATGGACACTTAGAATTACTTGAGCCAACAAATTATCCCTTTCCTTTGCCAATCTCCATAGCCATTTCCCAAATAAAGCTTCATTCTTCTTCTGTAAGTTACCCAATCCAAGCCATCCATCACTTTTAGCTTTGGTAACTACATCCCACCTAACTCTATGGTCCCTTTTTTCCTCCCCCTGTTCCCATAGGAAGTCCCTCATTAGTTTTTCCAAAACCCCGCACACTCCCTCAGGAATCTTAAACATAGACAAAAAGCAAACATGGAGATTAGCCAATGTTGACTTAATTAGAGTTATCCTACCACCCAAAGATAGGTAGTTTTTCTTCCAAGAAGCTAACCTTTTTGTGAATCTATCAATCACCGGATTCCAAAAGCTCCTTTTGCTCAGATTATCCCTTAGTGGAAGTTCCAAATATTTCAATGGCCACTGTGCAATCTCACACCCCAAAATTTGAGCCCTTTCTTCCACTTCTTGCAAACTCATATTGATGCCAATCACACAACTCTTATCAAAATTAACTTTGAAGTTAGTCACTTGTTCAAACACATTGATCACCTGCTTAAGATTACTAACCCACCTAGATCTCATCCCCGCCACAAGAAAGAATTGTATCATCTGCAAATTGTAAATGAGTGACTGGAACACTATCCCTTCCAATTCTCCAACCTCTCACCAAATTCCTAGAATCTGCCCTCTCAATAAGTCTTCCCAGGACTTCAGCAATCAGGGTAAATAAGAAGGGGGGAAAGGGGGTCCCCTTGCCTAATACCCTTAGTAGCCGGAAAGTAGTCTACCACCTTACCACTCACCAAATATGCACTTGTGTACTTTAATAGGGGAGGCTTTTGTCTTCTCATAAGGAATGTGACCTAATTAACCCTCCATATAATATACTTATATCATGCTTCTATACCTGTTATTTTAAGCCAAGTGTAACTTTTCAAAACATGCATTACCAAATATAATTAAATTTTTAACATATACAAATTTTTTATAGTATAATTTGTTAAATGGAATATTTTACAAGGTGTTTAAGTGTTAATGCGCTTGAGAATATATAGAAGTGTATGTGCAGTATCTGTTGTCATATTGGGTATGTATCGTATCTGATTACACATTACAGTACACTATGCATGTACATACATTTAAATAGTGAACAAACTATTACTAGTTTGCTTACTGCTATTTGAAGACAAAGAAGCCTATGATTTTTTTCAGATTGGTGGGTCTCAAATGGCTAGCTTCTAATGGACCAATAGACATGCTTCTCCAATGAAGTCAACTGGACTTGGATCCAGGTGCTGCCTGTTCCTGGAAGTCATCGTTCATGCAATGGGGAGATCTGGGAGGAGAGACAAAAATGTATCTTTGAAGGGAACAATTCTCCCTTTGGAACCTAGAAATCCTCAAGAGTTCATTAAAACTTAAAACTGTAATGTGGCCACAGTAAATAAAGATTAGATCCAAAGTGTATTCTAAGGGAATAAAAGATATAGTGAGGGATTTCTAATGCAGTATACTGAACTAGACTGGATACTTCATGAAAACATTTATTTACATCAAGGTTGTTCTATTGATGATTAATAGGAATTGGAGCTTAGACTCTTCTGATCATTACAGATGCCACTAGGACCCATGGCTATATGTTTGACTGTGCAAATTTTCAGGAAAAAGCAAAAGGAAAGCTAACCTAGATTCGGCTATGGGCATTTATGCAGCCATTTTCTGATTACTACACTAATGTGTTGTTCTTTTTTCTCCATTCCGTTCATCCATAGCATGGGAGTCTTGCAAGACTACAACAAGATATCTTTTAAATGACCTTAAGTTGTAGAACAGTAGAATTTTCCAAATTCTTGTCCTTTTGCACCTCAATTCAAATACAAAACTGAATCATTGACTTATTGTGATATTCCAGTACATCAAAGGTTCTACATAAAAGAGGTAAAAGTTTAGCAATTGATGGGTTGGCAAGCTGTTCAAGAAAAACATTAATCATCATAGATTACAAAGCCCATTCAGAGTCACTATTGTCAATGGAAGAACATTTTAAAAACTATGATATACTTGCACTTTGATTGGATTCAGTCACTTCTCTCTGCCTTTGATTCATCAAGAATACAAAAAGATGCCATGGGTAGCACACATGTACACACGCAAAGTAGAAACCTTGTCAAACTTGTATAAATGGATCTTACCGAAGTGGAACACAAGGGACACACATATCCCGCTGGTGCAGTATGTGAAGGAAAACTTTTAATGTGGGATACCAGGCAGTTTGTGTGTATGATATCTGACAAAAAGCAGAGAATAAGCCATGAAGAAAGTATAAGTTCAGACTAGACTTGCAACAATAATTACAAGAGGCAGTAAATAAAGTTGTGTGATAGCATACGCAAGCAACCCAATCGAGTAGTCTGAGGATCATTTCCATCTTCAAGCGCAGCATGACATAGGCAGCAAGTAGGAGGCCAATCATATTCCCCATCTATTACCCAGTCGGAGTAAGTGCGAACCTTAAGGAAAACGAGAATGTAAGTATATGTGTATAAAGAAATACCTATGCAGTAAATCTCTCATAAATTGAAAAGGAAAATAAATGAAAACTCAAGTTTCTGCAACATTTGATGTCTCCACAGCAGTTTTCTCAGAAGAAGGTTTTCTTAAGGGAAAAAAAAAAATCAAGAGATAACAAATATTTTGAGCTTCCCTTAATTCCTTCCATAAATGATATCAAATGACGAAAAAAGAATGAAATCAAGCATACAATACAACCATACAGGTCAAATAAATAATTAGTAATAATGTATTTCAAGTAAAAAATCACTAGAAGCATCATCAAGAACTTGAGTATCTGATTTAAATGGAATATGGCTGGTTTAAACTTAGACAATGACCCAGAAGCCAGAGCAGAGAGATTAGTCAAGCTATTTTTCCTTTTCCTTCTTTTCTTTTTTTCATCGGTAATCAGCCAGTCAAGCTTTGTTAATGCAGCGATATATATTATTAAACTTTTGGTCAAAGTTGTTAAAGTAAATGATACAAAGCCTCCTAGTGGACTAGGAAGGTGGATCTCAAAGTCGCTTATTCTCCTCTTAATATTCTAGGGTGAAAGTTTGATTTCTTCAATATAGTGGTATTATGGAATTTAACTTTGCCAGTTATTTTCTTGCTATCTTGGTCTCACGAGGGATGCATTTTTTCATGGAGTGGAGTTCAAGATCTCTATGGTTTTTTTTCACAATTTGGTCACTCAAAGGAACTCAAAGAAAACATTTTTAAGTTGGATGTCCATTTGGAGTGGTGGGGTGCAAAGAAGCTTCTGCATAGGATGACTTTCTTCTATGTTTTATTGGTAATTGATCAAAACGTTTTTAACAAAAGAATGAGAGGTAAAGTGCAACCAAGAAAAAAGGCCTTAACCTATCCCAATCAAATACAGAAAATAAAATCCAGCCTCTTGGTGGCTCATTCCAGAATCATTGTTAGTACTTTCCTTTAAAATAATCAATTAGCAAGGGGATATGATCCCCAATACAAGCCTTGTCTGCCAGCACCTTCTCTAGCAAGTCAATCAGCTAGAAAATATGCAGACATTTGCATTTAAATGAATGAAGAGTGCAAACTTCTAGCCAACAGTCTTGCTGCTTTTATTTGAGGATGATGCTGCCGAAGATCCATTCTTGAATTTCTCATCCACCTGATGATAAATCACTCCATCTCATGTGTGCAAAACTATCAAAGCAATAACTACCAAAATTTAAACTCATGCTGCCAAGTGAAGGTACCATCCAATTCTGAACCCTTAAGTTATTGTACAAGATAAGAATGCAACAATCATCCAAGTTCCAAGGGTCTTGCTTCTCTTATTTGTACTCTTTTATTCATTTGCTATATTCCTTTGATGTTCTCCTCTTTATTCAATCTTTCCGTAATAGAGTTGCTTTCTAATACATCCTATCTTCTTCCCTTTCAGTCTTAATTAACGAAAAAAGCTTAACAAGTAAACCATTTCTTCAAATATCAACAAAAGTGTCGCCAAATAAACCATTCTGTAAAAGCATACAACCAAAGTAAACCATTGTTTCTGCAGCACTAAAGTCCGTGAGTGTAAGGCATTAATAATTTACATTATGCTACTTTGACAAAATGGTAAACGTGTTGTATATGTAAGAAACTCACAAATAATTTTGTTTATCTAACAAACTAGTTATTCTTTCAAATTAAGAAATTTTAGGCTCCCTTGGATGTCCAACTTGCAAGCATTTAAATATGGATCTAATGCATTAAGAAGTCCCAATTTACTAGTAAATAGCCAAAACAGTCTAATAATGTGGATAGTTTTAGCATAGTTCCTTAAATATGCAATCTAGCAGTTATAATATACTTGGGTATCTAATCCTAATCCTACAAATCAAACATTGATCTCGATTACATTGTATGCATGAACCGCTGGGATGTGCTACCTCCAGGTTTGTGTAGCACTTTGATCCAATATTTTACGAAAAAAAAAATCTGTTCCAGCCAAAGCTTCTTAGATTAACTTCTGTTTCGAGTCCTCATTCCAGAATGGGTTTCTAGGCAAGTTATTTATCGGGTTTCTGTTATTCTATCCTAATGTCTCCTTTCATTTCTTTGCATCACACTATTGATGGAGTCTGTGTTTCTTCCAATATCCTCTCTTTATTCCTCTTAATAAATGTCATTTTCACCTACGAAAAAACAACCTAATTATGCTTTTTTATTGTTGAAAGCTAGCATTCTTGTAGAAGAAAATAAATAAATTTGTGAAAGAGCAATTTCCAATAGGAAACATGTATAATACAGCTAGATGTTTCCACATATTGCAGAACCTAAGTATTACACAAAGGATAAGTACATAGACTGAGAAATAACAAGGAGTGAAAGGAGTATAAATGGTTACCACACATATTTGGTGCTCTGGAAAACAAATGCATTCTCCACAAACAGGAACCTTATGCACGAAGCAGTAAAGCTTGGTCGCCTGAATCCAGAACATCACCAGTCTTAGTCCTTGGACAATGTAGACAATTATTGCATGCAAATTCAAGATGAACGTAATGCAACTAACAAAAACTTTTAGAACCAATACGTTACGTAGTTCAAACCTCACTTCATTATAAAAAGTCAACCATGAAAAGGAAGAGCTAAATAACGAAACTTTGAGAAATTAGAACATTTAAACGTTCCAATCAGGTGATTCTGGGACGAAGCACATGGCCAGGATCAAACAGACGATCTAGCAACTAAAATGGCAAATACTAGAACCATACTGTATCGAGCTCAATGCAGTGTTATTTGGGTCTTCCAAGTAATACATTTTTATCCTTTCTATGTTTTACGTTTTTCTCTTTTTCCCTTTTTCTTACATGGGGGTATTAAGTAGCAATCAAACGATATATATGCTAATATTCTAACCAATTATAAAAATCTCAGAAATTTTCCTTTTTCGTTCTTAATTCGACATCGCGTAAAGACTATGAAGAATTACGCATGCGCAGAACGGGACTGTCGTAGTGAATTGAACAACGTAGAAGGACGTGAAAAGAGAGAGAGAAAAAAAAAAGTTAACATAAGATAAAATCGATGATTTCTGTAAAATAATTCGAGATTGGAATGTGAAGTAAAATAAGGGATCCAATGGATAATAGAAGAGGCGTACCTTGCGGCATTTACAGACAACCATCGCATCGGCAGGTCAGCTCCCCCAACCGAAGAAATTGAAAATTGACAACTGAGAAAACAAGGATTTCTCTGTTAAGAAGATGAGAGACAGATCTGCGTGCAGAGCTGCAGATCAATAGCTTCTGCTCGATAAAAGTCGGGAGAGAGAATGAGAGAGATCTGAAGGAAAGAACGAGAACTGGATCGGTGGTCTGTTCCCGGTTTTGGTGGAATTTCGGGAGAGATATTATAATAGAACTGGGGGTTTTTATGCTGTGCATTTTAATACATCAAACCGCGATCTGGCCCGACCGCAGGTGGCCCGGTATTATATATTTTGGGAAAATTCTCGATCACTACCTGTATTTTGGTTCGAGTGATAATTTAATCCCTAAATTTTAAAATGCGAAAATCCAATACCCGAACTTTTGAACCCGACGTTAAATAATATGTAAAATGACATAAATGTCTTTCAAATATCGTCTAATTTTCTTTATTAATTAGTTATATGCATTGGTTCTAATATGCGGAAGATGACACCGAAAAATTAAACATTGTCGGAAAATTGTTCGGAGAACGTCATGAAAGGCTTGATCGAGACGAATTCCTCACTCACATCTAATTTTGGACTTTGACGAGAAGTTTATCTTCCCCTTCTTCTACCTCAACCATTTGACCTTATCAAGCATACTCCGAACAACAATCGTAGCAACTCTACTTTGTTGGGATTTCTTTCCCCAATTCTGTTACAAGCTCAGTTGTGCCTCTTGAATCAGAGCCAGACTCACATGAGAAGTCGGCTTCAAGAACTAGAGAAGGAGACACGGTTGGTGATTATCAACAGTGGGTGGAGCGAAACTATATAGGGCTTGATCCAAAATCAGAAGCCTCTCTCACCTTCAACCTCTTTGTCTCCTCGTCTCAGGTTCGCCGAAGGAAACACAGACGCTGCTACGACAACTCTGTCCCGCCTGAATCAGGTCTCCAACGTGCAAGGCGATCCAGAGCAGAGATTGATGGCGTATATGGTATCTGCTATCCGGTCCCGCACGAACCCAACCAAGAATCCTCCCCTAGAGCTGTTCAGTGATGAGCACATGATGACGACGCAGATGCGATACGAGACATCCCCTGTTTTAAGCTTGGATTCATCGCACATTAACAGTGCCAGCTACCAACAACGGTGATGATGGGCGGTGATTAGGCTCGACCTGATAAATAGAGGACACGTGGGTGTAGACTGTCAACTCGACGATGACTCAGTGGTATGCCCACCTCGGCAAGGCAAATCACTTCGGAGTCCCAGCCACCTCGGAAAACACCGAATTTCGGGGACCTCGGATGGTCGAGATATCGGAGCGGAACGGACTCCCACTTATCCAGCCCGAAGATCTCAGAAAGGCTCCATGAGGCCCACGACAACTTAACTATATAAGAGCACTCACCCCATAGTAGAAGTTACGTGCAATTAAGTGCATTCTAGCTCTCTCATTTCTTAAGTTCTCAGCTCACATATTACAGTTATTGACTTAAGCATCGAAGCGACCTTGCCGGGTTAGCCACCCTGGGTTCTTTGATTCCCCTTTTTGTACAGTTCGAGTGATGTACTTGTCAACAGACGTCTGAGCTGCCCTATAGCTAGGAACATCCAGATCGCACACCATCAATTGGCATCGTCTGTGGGAAACGATCGAAAGGTCATTTCACATATCATCTTCTATTTACCTAATCTCAATAATGATAGCATCTTCCACCAGCACCGAAAAAGGTATCGACGTGAATGCCACCGGGGGGCAAGATCAACAGACAACTCTTCCCTAAGGTTCCTCGGTGACCATCAGACAGTTCACCATCCCCCTCACAGCCTCGGGGATCCCATCACTGTTTGTACCACAAACCACCCCACAGGTGAATGTCCCGCTCCCCGAGGTGAATACCACCTTCTCGGAGCCCTCTGTGATTCCACCTGGGGTCAGGCATTCCCAGTTCAATGATCTCATTCAGAGTGTATGGACGATGCTGATCCAAATGCAACAGATCCACTAGTTTCAACAGTTCTAGCAACACTACTTTTACCAGCAGTACCAACAGTAGTTTCCACCGTTGCAGCCAAACCAACAGCAGATTCCGCATCAACATGCAGGTCAGTACCAAGGGCAAAATCAGAACCAGCACCAGTACAGGGCCCACTTGAATGTCCCCCAATCTCCCCATCGGGGTGAGAGGACCTCGCAGGTACCGGTCCCTCCCAAGGGCCAGACCCCACCTCGGGGTCGGACGAACGAACAACATACTCCCCCAGTCTCTCAAGGGGGAACCCAAAGGACAGGCACGAAGTCAGCCAACCAGAGAGGGCTAATCAACAGCAGCATTCGCGGCCGGAGAACAATGATCGTCAGCTCGGGGCCTGAGGTGTGGGCTCAAGGTGAGACCCCTCGGCACCCCGCAACAACCAACATCGGTCTCACGACGAAGAAGAAGCGGGAAGAAGGACCCCTGATCCACCTCACCCCAGCATTTAGAGAAAAATAGAAATACCCAACAACACCGAAGTTGGTAGCACAAACGCAGAGCCAGGGAAGAAGTAGCAACGGTGGCGTCGCAAAACTCACCGTTCCTCAGCCAGGAACAGCCCACTAGTGAACCGCAACCAACCGGTGGAACGAAGCAAAGAAAGAGAAGAGGTAAGCTCGGTGGCTACGAGAATGGCGCCTGCTCTGTTAAGCCGGCCATCCCCCCTATCACCTGAGCTCCTAGCGGCCCCAATGCCGAAGGACTTTAAAGTACCACCATTGGACAAGTACAACGGATCTTTCGACCCCAATGATCATGTGGACGCCTTCCAGTCCCAGATGCATATTGTCGGGGCTGACGAAGCTTGTATGTGCGTGGCTTTCTTCACCACCTTCAGAGGCGTAGTCCGGACCTAGTACAAGAACCTCACGCCGGGATCCATCAAAAGTTGGGCGCAGTTCGTAGACATGTCCACGGCCCACTTCATCACCAGTAAGAAGTGTCCGAAGTCGTAGGAGAACCTTCCAAACATGGTGCAAAGGGAAGGAGAGTCGATCCGAAGCTATATCAAACGTTTCAATGAAACGTGTTTGCAGATATTGGACCTCGACCCAGCAGTGCGCCTCACCGCAGCTCGAAAGGGAATCACTCATAAGGCTTTCAAGTGGTATGTCGTAGCGAACAAGCCAAGGACCATCACCGAGTTCCTAAAGCTGGCCAATCACTTCATAAGCACTGAACAAGCCAAGGACCATCACGGCAGCACGCACCGCGCACATGTCCGGCACCGCACGACAGCGGCACCATGAGCCGCGCGCACGCACTGCGCGGCAGCAGCACTGCATGCATGCACTCGGCAGCAGCAGCAGAGCGGGGCCCACACGACAACTCATAGGGGTGGTCCCACCCTTATCTTGACACGTCAAGCCAACTCGCCGCCAGCTTATCTTATCCCTTATCCCTTATCTCATCTTATCCTTATATTATTTTATCTTCTTAAGTAAGAGTTGTGTTACCCTTAGGAGTTTTAGTTTGAGTAGGTAATTAGGAGTTTTAGTTTGAGTAGGTAATTAGGAGTTTTAGTTTGAGTAGGTAATTAGGAGTTTTAGTTTGAGTAGGTAATTAGGAGTTTTAGTTTGAATAGGTAATTAGGAGTTTTAGTTTGAGTTGGATTACCCTAGCCTAGCCGAATCCAACAAGGAATTCCCTTCTGTAATCTCCTATTTAAGGAGCCACGAATTGAAATAAAGCATTCAGTTTTCCAGTCAAGAAAAGAGTGAGGAGAGTTCAGGTGGTCTCTTGGACAAATCACCCATTCAGTTTCCGCAATAGGGTCTGCACGCAAGGGAAGGCGCAAGGGAAAGCAGGGCTTTCTCACCGTGGACCGACTCGTGACGAGATCCTACACGTGGGACCATAACAGAAGAGAACCCACCAAAGCGACCTCGGATAGAAGAGCCCATCTACTTCACCGAGGACGATGCTTATGGGATTCAGTACCCTCATGACGATGCCCTTATCATGAAGCTCATCATCAACGACTTCGAAGTGAAGCAGATCTTGGTGGACTTAGGCAGTTCGACCGACATCCTCTTCAAAGGGACCCTCGACAAGTTACAACTGCAGCAAAGCAATTTGAAGCCGGCGAATACCCCTCTAGTAGGGTTCAGTGGAGAAGAAGTCAGACCTCTTGACCGGATCACAGTACTAGTGGAGGCGAGCACGTGGCCGAACATCGTGTTGTTCGAGCATACCTTCCTGGTGGTCGCGACTCCGTCCCCCTACAACGTGATCACAGGTCGGCCCATCACGCACGTCTTACGTGCGATAGTATCAACCTACTATCTGGCTATGAAGTTCCCAACAGATTACGAAGTAGGGGTTGTACGAGGCAATCAACTCGAGTCCTGTAAGTGCAACGTGGCTGCCCTAAAGGGAAAAGCGAAGCTAGCGGAAGACGTTGAACTAGAGCAACCAGCAGACTACATCGAGGAATGAGCTACCCCGATGGAGGAGACAATCCACATACCGGTTTCTGAGACCGAGCCGACCTAGACTCTCCAGATCGATGCCCTGATAAGCAAACCGCTCTGGACACAACTAGTAAGTTTCTTACTCAATAACTTAGATTTTTTTGCCTGGTCCACGTAGAAATGTCCGAAATTGACCCTAGAGTGATAACTCACAAATTAAATGTGGACCCTTTAGTCAGGCCAGTTAGACAAAGAAAACGCTACCTCGCCCTGGAGCAGTGGAGGGTAGTCGATGAGGAGGTCGGGAAGCTCCTTACCGCAAACTTTGTCAGGGAGGTCCATTACCTGAGTTGGGTCGCCAACCCCGTGCTGGTGAAGAAGGCCAACGGCAAGTGGTGCATGTGTGTCAACTACACCGACCTAAACAGAGCCTGGCCGAAGGATTACTTCCCCCTGCCTAGAATAGATCGCTTGGTAGATGCAACCTCGGGGCATGAGTTGCTAAGTTTCATGGACGCCTACTCTAGCTACAACCAGATTAGGATGAACATAGTCGACCAGGGCAAAACTGCTTTTATAACCGAACTCGAGTTGTACTATTATAAAGCGATGCCCTTTGGTTTGAAAAACGCTAGAGCAACTTTCCAATGACTTGTAAATAAGATCTTTGAGCCTTTGTTTGGCAATAAAATGGATTGTTACGTTGATGACATGGTTGTGAAGACCCAGTTTTCTAATTCTTTAATTGATGATTTAAATGTTGGTTTTCAAATTCTAAGGAAGTATAATATGAAGCTAAATCCGAACAAGTGTGTCTTCGGGGTCACGTCGGGAAAGTTCCTCGGTTACATAGTAAACCAACGTGGCATCGAAGCCAATCCGGATAAAATTAAAGCCATTTTAGATATGCGACCACCCCAAAAAATAAAGGAAGTCCAACAGCTAATTGGTCGGGTAGCTGCCCTAAACCAGTTTATGTCTAAATTGGCGGGTCGGTGCCTACCCTTCTTTAAGGTGATAAAAAAGAACAAAGACTTCAAATGGACCGAAGAGTGCCGAATCACGTTTGATGAGCTGAAAAAGTACTTAAGTACTGCCTTGGTTTTAACCCGGCCTAAGGAAGGAGATGAATTAAAGTTGTACCTCCCTACAAGTGACGAGGTGGTCAGCTCGATACTGATCAGAGAAGTAAATCGGGTCCAACGACCAGTCTACTACGTAAGTAAAGTTTTGTAGGATGCGGAGACCAAGTATCTCGACATCGAGAAGTTGCTGTGTGCGCTAGTAGTAGTAGCTCGGAAACTACGCCCGTACATCCAAGCCCACACCATTATCGTCCTCACCAATAGACCTCTGAGGCATATTCTACTTAAGCCCAAGGTGTCAGGGAGATTGACAAAGCGGTCTATCGAGCTGAGCGAGTACGACATCTAGTTTGAGCCACGTCCAGCGATCAAAGTCCAAGTCTTCGCAGAATTCGTTGTAGAGTGTACGTTTAGCACGTCGGCCCCAGAACTGACTGAGTCCGCTAATAGGTTGGGGGCATCAACTAATGCGGCACCGGTCCTGGTTAGGGTAGGACGAACTTGGGACGAGGAGCCCTAGATCC